AGCATCGTGCACCTCCTCCTCCTCGAAAGCTCTTTCTAGCCACTCATTGTCTCCCTCCCCTATGTGGTTGAACTCTATTCCCCCCAAAGTAGGCCTCCAACTAACTTCCTCTTTATATAAGTTCTCATAAAACCCCACTATCGTCCCGTTTACCTCCTCCTCACCCTCGATCCTCACCCCATCTACAACTAAGGACTCTATGAAGTTTCTCCTTCGATTTGCAATCGCAACCCTGTGAAAAAACTTAGTATTCGAATCCCCCTCCTTTAACCAGAGCGCCCTTGATTTTTGTCGCCAACTAGTCTCCTGAGCTATTGCTAGCTCGACTATTTCACTCTTAACCTCCCTCAATCTCACTTTCTCAGATTCATCTAGCTCTCTCGCCCCTTCCCCGCTCTCTAATTCCCCCAATTCATGCATAAGCTCCCTCATTTTGACCTTCACCCTCCCGAAGACCTCCTTGTTCCACCTAATAATATCTCCCTTGAGCAATTTGAGTTTCTTCAACAGACGGAATGAGGGTGACCCTGATACCCCGTAGTTGGTCCACCATTCTTTCACTTTGTCACAAAATCCTGGCACTTTCAACCACATGTTCTCGAACCGGAAGGGAGCACGGACCCCCCTCCCTCTGCATCCATCTAGCAAGATAGGCAAGTGATCCGAAGTCAGCCTAGGTAAAGGGATCTGCAACACATNTTGCAACACATTCGGTACCAGCTCATCCCAGGAGGACGATATCAAAAATCTATCGAGTCTGGACCTTGAGTTTGAATCCTCCGCCCTGGTCCAAGTAAACCTTTCCCCTGACAGAGGAAGATCAATGAAAAAGTGATCATTGATGAAGTCAGAAAACTCCTCCATGGCCGTCGAAATCAAATTGCACCCTAATCTCTCCTCCGGGAATCTAATTGTGTTAAAGTCTCCCCCTAGAACCCATGGAATGTCCCATTCCCCCATAATATTAGCAAGTTCCTCCCAGAAAGACACTTTGGACTCTTCCCCTACCGGCCCATACACTCCCCCAAATCTCCACTCCACCCCACTCACTCTATCTTTGACGAGAGCTGCCAAAGAGAAAGCTCCCTTCCTAATCTCCTTTACCTCCAAACTTCTATCATCCCACATAAGTAGAATACCCCTGGCACTTCCTGCTGCAGGGACCCAGTCATATTTCACCCAACAACCCCCCAGACACTTCTCACGATCGCATCCGACAAAACTTCCATTTTGGTCTCTTGAAAACAAACTAGGTTGGCACCCCACTCCTTAACTCCCACTTTGATGATGGCCCTTTTGTTTGGGTCATTCATCCCCCTGACATTCCATGAAAGGATCTTAACTTCCATAAGCAACAATAGCCCCCTTTTCCCCACCCCCCTAGACGAGATCCCTTTCTCCATGTCACACACTCGACCCCTTCTCTGATACACCACTACATCCCCTATTTTATTTTGATTAACACCTTTACCCAACTCCCTCCCCGCGCCTTCGTAACAAGGCTGTTGCTCAATCTCCCTCAACAGTTCTAGCACCCTATCTTCCTTCCCTTCAAAAGAAACACCTAAGAACTTCCCAAAGTTTAATAGTTTATCCTCCATCCATAAGGACATGTCCACTTCTCCAATCCGTGACGAAATTGGACATGCGTCTTCTGTAATTACCTTTTCCTTGCCCCTACCGGAGGAATGCAAGACCATAGCATTGCTAGTAGTAGGAACTCTGGGTGTCGGGTGGATCACGTCGTTTCGTTGAGAGGCACCAACCTCAGGAATTAATGCCTCTCTTGGAGGAGATTGTATTGTAACCTCAGCACATCTAAGCACAGTGGGAGATGAGGGGGCGATGGAGCTGGGTCCATCAGAGGCGGGGGGCCGTGGAATAACACCGCTAGCTTTTGCCGGTGCTGCCCCTGGAACAGTGGCTGAAGAGGAGCACAAGTCTCTAGTGTTTGGTATAGCACTGTTTGAGGCATCATTGGCAGAAGGAGGAGGAGTGACTTGCTCCCATATGTTTAGGCGCCTTATCGGACGTCGCTTGATATAATTTGGGCCCTTTTGGATCGATTCTAATAGAATTGGGAAAAGTTGCTGGGCCCATGTGTAGAGGCCCAGACCTATGCTTGCTGAAATCTTGCCCGACCCTATGATAGTTAAGAGAGGACGCATCACTATCCCATTCACGTCTTTTCCTCCTGTTAAAATTTTGTCTTCTTCTCCCAAGTTCAAACCTCCCGTCACTTCTCGATCTACCGTCTGATTCCAGCTTAGTCCACTGGTCCGGTGAGCCCTCCCCTCCTCTCAGAAACTGGTTTCCCCTTCCCTCCCTTCTATTTGACCTTTCCTTTTCTTCCGCCAAAATCGCAGGCATAAAGACAGGGCGAAATTCAGGGCTCAACCAAACCCTGTAGCTCAAGTAGCCATCTTCCACAACAGTGGAGACAGGGATTCGGCCCCCTTTCCTCACCACAATCCTTACTCGCGAGAGATCGTGCAAGCTGCAAGTGACATCAATGAAACCCCCACAGATTTCCCCAACCTTCTTGAATAGGTCAAGACACCAGAGATGCACCGGGAGACCCACCATGTTGACCACCAATGTTTCGGCAGGGAAACGAGGGTCGAGACACCCATCGTGCTCCACCCATCTGTCTAACTTTAAGAAATTCCCATCAAACCACCTGTTTCCTCTTACGAGAATTTCTGAAGCTTGAGACTCGGTGACAAATCGAAAGAGATATTGCGTGTCACCCAGTTTCGATATTTTCAGCCCGTCCTTGACGTTCCATGCCTCTGCTGTCCAGTTCCTAACAGTTTCTGGAGAACCAACCCATTTGGAGAAAGACCCAATCAAACAAGAGTTCAAGAAACCTTTACGCCTGAGAGTGTGCTCCTCGGACAGCGAGAAGTGTGGCTCCTGCCCTACGTCAAGCTTTCGCTGGCATCTTCCCCCAAGTTCGCGGGCTGGCCAAGATGCAGCTTTGCTAAAAGACATGCTTTCTAATTTTCTAGATTCTAGGGAGAAGTAGGAGCTTCTCTCTGTAGAGTCCGTCATAGCTAAACCAAGAGCCTCGCAAGGAGACTGACTGAAGAAGGGAAAGTGAGAGGGAGTGAAATCTGGCCGGAAAAAGACACCTCCGTCGCCGAAAAATAGCAAAAGTGGTCGGAAGTTGGAGGTTGATGGATGGGTGAGGTCGGAATAGCCTCGCGAAGAGGCTGTCTGAAGGAAAAAAGTTGGGATCTGGCCTGAAAAGGCGTCACGTGCCGGCGCGTGGGGTGTCAGATCCCGGCGATTCTTTCTGGGGTAGTGTCGCGACAGGGTTGGCTCTCGGATGGTGGTGGTGGAATCCTAGGATTCATGGTTCATGGTGGTGGTGAAGGGGTGGGATGGGGTGTCTGTGTGCTACAGTGGTTTTTTTCCGCTTCATGCACATTGAGTTCTGGTGACTGATCTCGTTTTGAACTGTTCACTTTCTAGGTGACGCTTTACTATTACGACTATTGTTCACTATTCCGTGTTTTCCAGAAAAAGCAAACTCAAGGTGTTCTTCACTTCTTCTTACCTTGAGTTCAAGGACACATAATACAATGGTAATGTTAGTTAGTAGAATGTTAGTGTTAAGTTAGTCCAACATCAAAGATTATTGTGCTTTTCACACCTGAAAATTAAGTGTCATGTATTATGTAATAAGTATTCATCAACTTATCTTTTCATCTGCTTCTTCTATTGTCTCACAATTTTCAGATTAAAATGGAGTATTTTTTTTACAAAGAATCCCATTAGCAAGAAGATTGTGATTGTGTCTTGGGCACATTGTCAGTTGAACCATCCGTATTGGTTGAGATTGTTTCTTTGAAATCTCCTGATATTAGAAACCCGTCGATCCTTGAGTACTTCCTGCCTTGTTTCTCTCTGGACCATATGTAACTCCTACCTTGCAGAGGCAAATTGATCAACTCTATGTCAAGACTGAAGCTTCAGAAAGTTCCTAATGATTTTGAATGATTTCTCACCTGCAAGAAGCTGGTGATTCACATTGTTCAGCAAAAGATTTTTTTTTTGTTTGCTTGTCAAATTAACATTGTAATTAGAATACTCTCCTTCCCATATGCTCTTCTCAAAGTCAGCATTCAACCAGTTATGCCTCTTACTTCTGGCCGTACAGAAGGCACCTTGATGGATGTTAACTTTTAACACTTCATCCTATATTTGGAGGCCTAGAGAGGGTTACTTCATGCTTTAGTTTCAATTTAATCAACAGCTTCTAGGTTATTTAAGAAGTAAAGCATTGGAAAATACATGCGCGGTTTAAGTAATAGGATTGCCCTAGTATCTCATTTTTCTTTGAAAAGAAGTTTGATTCATATGTGTATTTCAGTTTTTGCTAGTTGTTGCAGGATCAGTGTAAAAATGGTATTTATCAGCCTTCCCTAAAAAAAGAGAGATACTGAACGAATGCAAAGAAAACACTGTTTCTTGGAGGCTTCTTATTTGCTCATAATTCATCTGTTTGTAAGATTTATGGGTGCGACCCATTTCTTGCCTTCTTGGTTGGTTATAGTTTTATCTTTGGATAAGATTTACCTGTAAGACTTGCAATTAAGGGCTTTATGTCATTTATCATGCTAAAAATAACATAAAGTCTGTGTGGGCTGTACTTTTTTAATTCTATATAATTTATAATGATGCATGTTGTTTTCTTGGTGCAGGTTCTAGCACTGCCACTTCCACACAGACCGTTATTTCCAGGGTTTTATATGCATATCTATGTGAAGGTATGGTACCTTGTCTAGAATGGGTTAAACTATGTCTTAGTTAGTCTTCGTGATTTTTGAAATAGAATAGATATAAGCTTTAAACATTAAGAGTAAAATTACTGTCAACTTTCTGAGAGTTGATACTGTTTCAGCTAGTGTTTTGGAGCCTATTTCCTCTTAAGTCTATAAAACCAGCATTCAGCTTTAACAATGCTACTTTAATTGATGGAAAGTTCTTGGCTGAAGTTGTAAGCTTGAAAAGCTAAAACCTTCAATTAGGAGAGCGTCTGTTGCTCAATTGTAATATTCTTTAGCCTCATTTGGTAGTTTCCAGAAAAATATAAATTCTGCTGTAATGGCATGCAACAAATTGATCTGAGGCTCCACATAATCCATAAATTTCACTGCAGGATCCCAAGGTATTAGCAGCCTTGCTGGAAAGTCGAAAAAGGCAAGCACCTTATGCTGGCGCTTTCCTTATGAAAGATGAGCAAGGGACTGATCCTAATGTTGTGTCTGCCTCAGATACAGAAAAAAACATCTATGAGCTTAAAGGAAAAGACATGTTGAACCGTCTTCATGAAGTTGGTACACTTGCTCAGGTACATCTTGTTGTTCCTTGTGTTATTCTGTTGCTTTAACTTTATTGAAGAAGTTTCTGATCAAGGTTGATGCAACTTATGATGAGCCAGATAACAAGTATTAAAGACGACCAGGTTATTCTTATTGGTCACAGGCGGATACGTATGGCAGAGGTGGTAAGTAGTTGTCTGCTTTATTTTTTGGTTATAAGCAGCTCCATATGTTTTCTTTTTGTCCTATTTAGTTCTATTTTTCATCTACATATCCATCATCTCCTGATTTTGAGACTGCCCAATTGACATCTTGGGTTCATTGCACTTGTATATTTTTCTCTCTTTCCTACCTTTTGTGTCCCAACACCGAGTCCTTCCCCTTTGGCTTCATATAACTGAGCAGCTGCATTGTCAAGCGATAGAGGTCTATTGCAATTTGAGGCTAAATGAGCTGTTTTCCCCAGTTGGTTATGACGTGTTATCAATAGAATGAAACCCTCTTTTAGTTATTCTTGATTGCTTGTTTGCAAGAGAAAGTAGCACTGATTTTGTAATAATTTTTGGACAACTGGTTTCCTGCAAAGTCATAGGAATGTCTTTCTTATTGCACTTCGGGGTTGTAGAAGAGAAAAGCAATTGAGTTTCTTCTATGATGTGCTAGTTTTGCATCTGTTTGATTGCTGATGCATTTGGTTTGAATGAAATCCTAGACTTTTGATAACCTAGAAATCTGAGGGTAAGTGGCTCACGGTTTGAAACTCAGTGGATAATGGGCTCACCATTCTACCATTGTCCACCTAAATACTAGGCTTTTGTTTGCGCCACGGCACGAACTGTGATGTGCACCCAACCTACATATCACGGGCTGTACTCTTACCACTAGACAAAAGCCCCGGAGGCTTAAACATATATTAAAACACATAAAAGTTTGAATAGAATCCTATATATTTGGGCTGTAATTTGGTATAGAGTCGTATTCTTGGCTTTAGCTGTAAAGCTGGAGTACTCATGCATGGTCAGCCATTAATGGGCTTACTTAGCCACTGGAGGGTCTTATGTCTTCTTATTTTTTCGTTTTATTTTGTGATTGAGGACCTCTTATCCTCTTCTATTGGACTTAAATCTCTCATCCCCTGAGCTCCTCAGTAATAATTCTCCTATTATACTATACTTACTGTTGGATGTTTACCTCTCTACCTTCACATGGTAGGGTAAGGTCTGCGTACACAGTACCTTTCTTGGACCCCACCTGCACGATTACACTGGGTTTGTTTGTTGTTGGATGTTTGCAGTCAGATTTCCTTATGTAGTCATTTCTTTTGTTTCAATAAACAATTTCTTCAATATACTAGTGTAACAATTTGATGACTATGCAGTAGATTTGTCACACTTGAATGTTCACTATCAGATTTCCTTACTTTATTCACCATGTTGTTCTTTTTCCGTCTCAATAACCCATTTTGTGAAATGTACAAGAGTAACACCTTGAGGACTGAAACAGTGACATTCATTTGCAGGTCAGTGAGGAACCCCTTACAGTGAAAGTTGATCATCTCAAGGCATGCCTCAGTTTCTTGTGCATTCTTTCTACCCAGCAATGATAAACTCATAAAGCTTGATGTTCAGTTTTGAAATTGTTTCTAAAATTTGCTTTCTTAATTATGTTGCAGGAACAGCCGTACAACAAGGATGACGATGTTATAAAGGCGACATCTTTTGAAGTTCTATCAACCCTAAGGGATGTTTTGAAGACAAGTTCTCTCTGGAAGGATCACGTTCAAACTTATATCCAGGTGTTAGTCATTTCTTTCTAAATGTTAAGTCCTAATTGTTTGATTTGGTGATAACTCCAAAAAAAAAAAATTTACTCTCTCAAAATGCATTGCCTTTTGATATTCTAGCCCACACTATTGTGTGAAGCTCCACAATGCCGGTGGATTGTGTTAAACTTAGATCATGCCCTAAGTTAGGCATTTCATGCCATTCTTTTTAATGGAAAATTATGTTCGTGTTGGTGGTAATCAAATCCATGACTAGATTCTCTGCCTTATAGTTGATGCCCTGCTGAAAGAGGAGACTAATTAAAGATGTCAAGACTGCTAGGAAATGGAAGGTCATAAATGTTCTCTGAACCAACTGTATACATATTGTTATACATATTTCTAAAGAGACGCTAGGAAGTTTATACAACTGAACAACTGTATAAGATGTATTTGGAGCTAGGAAGTTTATACAATACCTAATTCTCTCTCTGCTGAATTTCTAAAAAGATGCTACTGATTGTTATGAATAGTGTCAAAATCAAAAGATAATATTGTGGCATGTTTTGCTGAAGAAGTGGGAGTGGAGGGATAAAGGGATAGGGACTTACTGAATACTTCTAAGGGAAGCATTTGTGTCCCTCCAAGTTATTGGTACACTAGTAATTGGAGTAAGAGACATTACTCCTTTCGACCAATTTCAGAGGGGTTATCAAGTCTTCAAAGCGTGGCGATATTTGTGGGGGTTGGCTGGAAATTGAAAAAAAGACAACTCTAAGAAATCATCCTAGATGGGCTTCGATCAAGGAGAGGAGGCAGATGGAGAAGATTTCGAAAACCCTAGAAGTGGAGAAGAAGGGTTTTCTTTATAAATTACATGTTTGGAGTGTAGCGTTGGTAACAATTATCTCCAATCGACGAAATGGAGAAGAAGATGGACCTGCTAGGTACTATGATGAAGTTTGAGATAGGCCTGCTACCGTAGAAAAGATCGGTCATGTGGGGGTTGGGAACAATATTTCAAATTCTAAAAAAGTGTGGACAGATGTGGGAGTGGCACGTGGAAAGGTCTTAAGGTAGAATGGGTCAGTAGTAAAGGAAAGGGCTCCAGAATTGGGCCACTTATGTCATGATGTTTGGAAGCTTAACATAACTTTTGGGTCATAAAAAATAATAGATATAGGCTCAGATGAGTCAACCTTTATTTTCAATAAGGGGCTTGGTCTTTTAGCCATGAACCTTTAGGGTCTCAGTTTTGATACTCTTTTAGTGGAGATTAATGTCATTAATTTGTCTGAAACATGATACATTTTAGACTCCTTTCACAACACCATGATCGGCAAACCGATGAAAGAGCAGGAAAGCCCTAGTCTGCCACAAATTTCACAGAACTCACATGCAGCTGATTACACAAAAATTGTCATTCAAGATTAAGAAAACTCTTTCTTCGTACAATCGAAAGAGGCTGACCAAAATCAGATAGTTTTTTGAATTTGAAAGAACTAAACCATGGCTTATCGAAGAGGCTACTCAAGCTTTCTTATGGCTGCATAATAATGTTACAAAGATGAGCAAACAATATGGATTGAATTTTTGTGAATGTGAGATTGAGGGTCTAGCTCTGTTCACGAAGCTTGACAGGAGAAGGCATAAGAGAAATGAAGCTACCATGTCCAGATTCACAATTCCAAAAGTGATAGGTATAAAGGAGCTCCAAAAACTGTTTTTTAATGTGAATTATGGGGAGCTCGGATCAATGATGGGAAGGGGGATCACAAACACTAGGTACCCATGAAGCTGAATATTCTCACTTGGAATATTAGGGGGTTGAATGACAGGGAAAAGATAAAGGTGATAAAAAGTTAATCCATAAATTGAAGGCAAATATTTATTGCTTTCAAAGACGAACTTAGAAGGGGGTGTGGAAATACTAGTTAAACAAATGTGGTCAGACCCATCTCAAGTGTTGTTTGGAGTCCAACGACAGGAAAGGGAAAATATTGGTGATGTGGGAAAAGAATGTTTGGACAAGAGAAACTATCAACAAGGGATGTATACTATCACTCGCAAAATTTCCTCATTATCACAGAATTTCTCCTGGCACCTCACAGGGGTGTATGAATCACACTGCAAGTTGGAGAAACAAGAACGCTGGTGGGAGATAGTAGCATCTAAGGCATTTGTGCAGGGCCTTGGGTGGTGTATAGAGATTTTAACACTAATAGATTCATAGCAAAAAGAAAGAACAACAATAAACTCACTAGGGCTATGATGGACTTCTCTAATTTTATAGATCATTAGAAGCTTGTAGATTCTAATCTTAATGGGGCTCCTTTTACTTGGACAAAGGGTAATAATCAGGAAAACTCTTCAAGATTGGATAGATTTTTTTCCCGGCTAAATGGGCTGAGGAATTAAAGAACAAAAGGCAAGCAGTACTCCCCAGTGTATTTTCTGATTGTACTCCCGTTTCTTTTCAATGCGGAGATGGGGAAGTTTAAAATCTTACTTCAAGTTTGAAAGCTGGTGGTTGGGTGTTGAGAGATTCAATGAAATGGTGAAAAGCTGTGGAACTCTTTTGAAGTACAGGGTAGACTAGACTCCATTCTTTCAAGCTAACTGAAGTTGTTGAATACAAAGCAGTGGGATTGGGAATCTTCAGACTATGACAGTGTTGTGAAGAGCCTGAAGCGAGGAAAAGCGATAAGCCCCTTTTCGCTTAAAGCGAGAAGCGAGAAGCGAAGCGCTCGCTTTTTTGAAGTGAAGCGGTTTAAAAAGATATTAAAATAAATAATGCATAGACAACACATGTAACTGTAAGCAAATGTTCAATACTTCAATGTAAAAACTAAAGAGTAGCATCAATTAAAGCACAAAATGAGCATCATATTCTTCTTCAAGATTGTCAAATTCTTGTATTCCACTATCATTATTATATTGCTCGTCATCTTCTTCAACTTCTTCTTCTACATCAACTAGAAATGAAGTAACTGCTTCTTTTCCCTTCCTCTGTGAGCTTGAAATTGAGGTACTCCCCCTCAAACCATAAATTTTCTCCCCAATTCCACGCGCCTCCGCAACATCACCCCAAGTGAAATCAGAAGTTTCCTCAAATACTTCTTCATTTGCATGATCTTCCGGGACTCCAATTAGCCATTCATTAGCATCATCGATGTTGTCCAAACTAATTGGATCAATTACATTGCGAGCATTGTAACGACGCCTCATTGTTCTATTGTACTTAATGAAGACTAGATCATTGAGACGCTTCAAGGTTAGTTTGTTCCTCTTTTTGGTATGAATTTGCAAATAATAAGTAATTAGTAAGATTGCATGCGCATAACTGTCTGTCATCATTCAACATTCTAACTTCTTGAAGTTGCAGCATATTGGTGATTTCAATTATGCAAGGTTAGCAGATTTTGGAGCAGCAATATCTGGAGCCAACAAGCTACAATGCCAGCAAGTGCTTGAAGAGCTAGATGTAAGTCCGTGGTTCAAGAAGTTAGATATTCCCTCTGTTTCAATTTAGATGACACACTTTCCTTCTTAATCCGTTCCAAAAAGAATGACACATTTCTACAATTGAAAATAATTCAACTTTAAACTTTTCATTTTACCCATTTACCCTTAGTGAGAAGTTTTTATAACCACACAAATGTTATGCCCCCACAAAGCTTTTACCCCTTAAGCTTTTAAGTCCACAAGTTTCAGAAGTCTTTTTTCCTCTTAAACTTCCTGCCAAGTCAAACTACCTCATCTAAATTTAAACGGAGGGAGTACATAATATTTTCTGTATGTGTGCCTTTTTCAATCCAAACCTCAAAGAGAGAGGTTTACCAGTATTGTGAGTTCTAACCACTCTGGAAGAGAGCGAGGTTTTATTACTAGGAGGTAGATCTAAGAATTTTTCCTTGCCATTTGCTTCCTATTGTAACAAAAAAAAAATATATGTTTGGTCAGTGCTTCCCTGCTCTGAAAAGGAAAATGGTTGAAAGTTAAAAAAAAGGAGGATCAAAGCGTATTAGCGGTAAAGCTTCATTTCTTGCTGATGGGTAAAATGGCTTCTCATTGGTACTCTTGCTCGAAAAATTAGGAATCTAAAAAAGTTATCAGTTTGTTCACCACTTCATAAAAAGAAATTGTCAGTTTGTTCAAGTGGAGCTACTTATTTTGGGAAAATTAGAAAGGGAAATATTCAGTTTAGAACAGCTAGCAATATTTTGTATTTCCTCGTAAGAATCATAAACTTGCATTACAATGGTTATTTCATGATTTTCATCGAACTGAGCCTTTTGTCTGCTCAGGGATCAGAATATAGTGTGTGCATGAGATAAAATGAATGTTTCCCGCTTGTTTCATAGCTAACACCATAATACCTGCATCAGGTGCATAAGCGGCTACAGCTTACCCTGGAGCTAGTGAAGAAAGAAATGGAGATTAGTAAGATTCAGGTAAATGCACATCAAGACGCATACCTGAACTTTAAATAGGTGCTATGCATGCATTTAGCATTTTACGTCTTTTCTGTTGTCTGCAGGAATCAATAGCAAGAGCAATTGAAGAAAAAATAAGTGGAGAGCAACGCCGTTATTTGTTGAATGAACAATTAAAGGCCATAAAGAAGGCATGTGGATTATGTGCAGCTTTTTTTGTGTTATCATCCTTAAACTTAGTACTTACATATGTTTATTCCTAGATAATATATATGTTAAGCTTCTGATTCTTATGTTTGATTCACAGTTTAAACAAAGAGTTGATTTGAAAAAAAAGTGCTTCCTTATGACGTGATTTTGATTGGCTTAATGCAGGAACTAGGTTTGGAGACTGATGACAAGACAGCTCTTTCTGGTTCGTTGTCTCTTAATTACTACTGAAATGAATAATGTTCTTTTTGGATTTATTACGGCCAGACGTGTTTTCCCATCTGGCCAATGAAACATCTTATGTTGGCCCTGGAAAAATTCCATGTAGCAGTAGCATAGAAAAGGCCATTTGCAATACGTTTTGCCCTTTCTGTTGTAACAGTTTTATGGTGGCTGATTGATCTCCTGTTTACCATTGAAAATCTTCACTAGAAGCATGAATAGCATTCAGGCGATAATTGGCTTTACAGATAGGAAATTGAAGGTTGAATTTTCTTTGTACACGGTCCAACCAACTTTATTGACATGCTTTCTAAAGCTATTTGAGACATACCAAACTTTTGACAGATAAGAATACATTGTACCTATAGGGGGCTCTTTGTGTTTTCACTAAAGCACTTAATAAGACAATACTGGAATCCTTCAACTTCAATTTCCGAAAGGTTACTGTCTACCATATTTGGTAATGTGGCACTAAATCAACATGGATTTACTGGAAGGCCACATTGTTAGCACTGCATTGTTGTTTATTCAAGTTATGGACTGCTCATGATTCAGATTTATCTTCCTCCTCCAATGTTTCTTTTTCTCTTGAACTCTGTCCTGTTTCCCTTTTCAATGCACTTCCTTATTAGAAGCCTACTTGCTTTTTCTGTCATGTACTCTTTCTTCTCCCCTTTGCTCCTGTTGAGGAGTGTAATGCTTATGAAGGTGCTTCTTCCAGGTTTTGGTGATAATAGACATTACTGCAAACCCTAAAACGCGGTTCTCATTGTTTTTTCTCTATAATTTTCACAAAAATAGAGTTAAGCTGCGTGTTGTAACATTGTTTTGGTAGACCTGGTTTTGGTGTTGAAATTGAGAAGAAACTGCCTAATTATTAGGTTTGCTTTAAGGGCTTCGATTTTTCTGGTCAATACTAACGAAAACCTGCAGTTTTTTGTTCCCTTTTTTATTACATCTAATGGTGTGACACTATATTTGTTTATTACTGCAGCAAAGTTCAGGGAAAGATTGGAGCCTAATAAAGAAAAAATACCAGTACATGTTATGCAAGTTATTGAAGAAGAACTGACAAAACTGCAACTGTTGGAAGCTAGTTCCAGTGAATTTAACGTAACACGTAATTATCTTGATTGGTTGACTGCCTTGCCATGGGGTAATTACAGGTTTGTTGTCTATCGATTCTGCCTTACATTGTCTTGGGTTCAACCCAACTGATGTTATCCTTATCCTTGGCTAGCTGTACTAGAGGAATCTGTTTGAGAAGCTGGCTAAACAGTCCAGCGAGAAATAAAAATGTTATTCTCTGAAATTTGCTGCTTCCAAGTTAACCTTACTGCCTAGTGATGTGACTTGCCTAAATATCTATCGAGTAATATCCATTTGTCTTTAACTTTTCTTTCTCCTCCAGTTCCTTATTTTGGGTTCTTACATGTCATGCTTCTGGCTTTGAGGATGCTTACTTGACATCCCAATGTATGAGTTTAGACCAGGATCTCATGAGAGCAGCAAAACTAGGATTGTACTTATGATGAGCTCCTTAAGATGGGGGCTTGATTTGCCGTAGTTCGTGTTGTTTGCTGCTGATGGTGGTGGTGTTGGCTTTATAGTTTTGTTCTCTGCCATGGGTGTATTGCATTGGTTCCTGAAGTTTTCTTTTTATGATCCAAATGCAGTGATGAAAACTTTGATGTACTACGGGCAGAACAAATTCTTGATGAAGACCACTATGGGTTAACCGATGTTAAGGAAAGGATCTTGGAATTTATAGCTGTGGGAAAACTCAGAGGAACCTCGCAAGGTTGGTAAATGCCTTTTTTTAAAAATAATAACCCTCATTTTTATTAAAAAAAATCCTATTTTATAAGGTTCAGCCATAATCATATTAAAAGAACGGAAAATGATCCAGCCATCTCCTTACTGTCCATTGTCATAACATTATAATGGACCAATGGAAAATATATCCATAGAACATGAGATTTATGGTTCCCAAATACTTTATTGACATCAAATTGAAACGAGTAAACGGAAAGAAGTGAACATTTTAGGGAATTTGAGAAATATTTATTGGTCAAACTTAGGTAATACTTTTTGTGTCAGTCTAGAGTTCCTCCAATGTTTTCTTGTGATTATCTGTGGAGTAAAGAAATATATCTTGAGCTTAATTTCTTCCCTTGAAAAGCAACTAATGTGAATTAAACTGCTGCACCTTGGGCCATAGTTTGTTGGTGTTCTTCTTACATTCTGATTTTGTGCTGTCCATGATTGGGCACTCGCTGTGTGGTATTCGATTGATAACTTACTTTCACCACCAGTTGTACTTGTATATCTTTGGGACATTGAACTTGAGATGTAGTTGTTTGTTGAGGATAATCTTTGGAAACTATGAAGTGTTGAGAAAAAAACAGGTTGAATGAAAGTTAACAATATAATCCAAAGACAAAGGTTAACTCTAGAAAAATGTGAATTGCATCATAGCTAGGACAATATTAGGTTCAAATGATAATATTAATCCCAATTATACACTGGCACTGTCTTTCATATGTGCGGCTTCACCTGATTTATCTCAGTTTAATTTTGAATCTGAGTCAGGAACTAGAAACAGACTCATTGCTTATTTTTGTTTGAACAGGGAAAATCATATGCCTCTCTGGCCCTCCTGGGGTGGGCAAAACCAGTATAGGTCGTTCAATTGCACGTGCATTGAACCGCAAATTTTACCGATTTTCTGTTGGAGGGCTGTCTGATGTTGCTGAAATAAAGGTAATGGGAATATCTGGCCAGCTAAAACAGAGTTGTTTTGTGGCGCACAGAATCTTGAACTTTCATGACTAACTTTGGGATACACTTCAAGGGACATCGACGAACTTATATCGGTGCCATGCCGGGGAAGATGGTGCAATGTTTAAAAAGTGTGGGAACCGCTAATCCTCTTGTTTTGATAGACGAAATTGACAAGGTATTTTATGGTTTGTGAGTTCATGCTTCAATTGTATGGCTTTGACTATGAGAGGAAGTCTAACTTCTTTTTCACCATTTAATCTCGTTTTTCTGTATATGACCACTGGAAGAATCTTGAGCCTGAACATATTATGTTTTTGCTTGGATTTCCTCTGCAATCTAAATGTTTGAAGAAAGTGTTTATCGATCAGTTTAATAATAGCCTTGTATTTTTTCTTCTATGGCAGTTGGGAAGAGGACATGCTGGTGATCCAGCAAGTGCTATGTTGGAGCTTCTTGATCCAGAACAGAATGCAAATTTCTTGGATCATTATCTTGATGTTCCTATTGACTTATCAAAGGTAGTTGTTTTCTGGAGCACTTATCAAATTATTGTGGCTGTTGATTGGCCCTTATGAAATGCCCTCTAACATCATTTGATGAATGGGGACTAATGTGATATTAAAAATCTTGCAAATATCTACTATCATTTTGCTTTTTCACCTTTTGATTTCCCCCCCTTTTTCTTTACTGATTGATGTTCTCTTTCGTCTCTTACCTTAGTTAAGTTTGGAAAAGGTTTCGTGACTGAGCCTGTTTCTTTTATTGTCCATAATGGAAGGTTATCTGGAAGTATTTTATTTCACGTCTGTGTTACCTTTGTCTCTGTCATTATGACTGTAATATGATTAGTGTAAGTAGAATGTTGTTCTCTTGATACTTGAGAAAAAACTAGGTTTCATTGGCATTGGTTTTGGTGATCATTCAATAGGAAAAAGGTTGATGCATTGAGTTTTCCTACTGTCTGTTCATATTATCTTTGATGGCTTTACTGATGAGGGATATGGTTTTATACCTCTTGGAGTTACCGATAATTGGAGCGATAGACTTTGAGTGTTGAGTGTTAGTTTACCTATTGATTAAAGAATTTGGCCCATAATTCAAATATGACAGTTATCGATACTATTTCATTTTATTATATCAAACTTCAGCAAATCAACATGGCTACAGAGAGAAGGTTGATGGGTATATTCGCATACAATTTCATTTATTTTGTCCTTTAATGTGATAATTTACTGTGTGTTCCTATGTCTTTTCATAATGGTAAATATTTGTGTTATATTTCCAAAGGGCTTTGTCAAAAGAAGATAGCATCTTTCGATTATTTTGGTAGTATTTTGGGTCTGACTTGGTTATGGGGAGGGAGGCTATATCAAAGCCCTGTTATGGATGTTGAGTTATATATGAACCTGAAGAAATTATAAAATCCAACCTCTAGGTTTTAATGTACTTCTAAAATTTGAAAAAATCGAGCTTTGGCACCTTCAGTGTTTTCTATCCTCTTTGCTTAATACAGTTACCTATTCCACTGTAGTTTATACGAGAATGACATCTGCACATTTATCAATTTTTTGAGTGCATAATTTGAGGTCGATCATTTTCCTTTTTGCGGCTGCAGGTTTTGTTTGTCTGCACAGCCAATGTTGTAGAAATGATACCTAATCCTCTTTTGGATAGAATGGAAGTAATTTCAATTGCTGGTTACATTACGGATGAGAAAATGCACATAGCCAGGGATTATTTGGAGAAAGCTACTCGTGAAACATGTGGGATCAAGCCTGAGCAGGTATGTCTTATAGAAACATCTCTAGTTGCATCTCTTTCATTATCTCCTGTGCATATTCATTATCGGGTGAATAGTTTTGTATTTTTTCCGCTCCCAATTTTTGACATTCAGAAGCAGACATTGGTCTGTCGGGAAAATGTTCGAAACATGATTGGGCAAGAATGTAACTTCTTAAAGTAAAATGTGAAAAGCTTTATTCAGTTAGAAGTTTATGGAATAAAACATATGATTGGAACATTCAGGGGATCAAGCTCTTTACACCCTTCCATATAGAACATGGCTAAAGGAAAAAATCGCAGTAAATCTCATTATAGGTTTTTTGCCATATGCTTTAATATTTCCTAGAAAATATACTGTTTGATGTATTGATATCATTTTCATCTTAAGCCTCTACATTTAGAATATACTTGCCTCCAAAGCTAATGGATTATAAAGTTTAATACAAACTCTTCCATCACTATCCTTTTCAAGAAGTATTTAAGTGGTTCACATAAACAACTGAACGAGTCCACATTGCTGTATATATCCTCTCAAGTGCTGCTTTCTCTTTGAGGAATGTTTGCTTGACCGAGCCAAACTGTGACTGCCTATGCTAGCCAATGTGCTCGTGCATCATTAACACAACCACTGTGCCACACTTTGCTGGGAGTATAAACGCAATTGAAGGTGGTTCTGTCGTGGTAGTCGCCAATCTCTATTAGTAAATGGAGGTATAATGAGTTTCTTAGTGGTAGGGATACATGTGCCTGGTGGGTGGGGTTGCTGGATGGTATTGTCTAACAGATTTGAGCGGGGCGTGAACTAAAGCAGGATGGATGTTTAAAATATGCCAAGTGTTTTGGTGTTTTTGCTGTTGACTTCAATTTGACCATCGTGTAAAAGAGAAACTAGACTAGTTTGTTACACAGTAGTGAATTTTTTATTACTGTACAAGGAATCATCATACGATGCCAAGATTGTGGTGATGACTCCAAAAAACACTTGACAATGTCTATTGAGTGAGCTTAAGTTATAATATGTCTGCAGTAAACATGTTCTCCCACAGCCTTAAAGATGAGATCCGTGGAATTCGGAGAACCTTATATTTAGCTCTCTAATGTGATCTTCAGTTGAGTTACATGCCATATGGATCTCTGGTGAAGAAAAGGGAGCTGAAGACTTACTGATTAAGGGCATCAAAATGACATTTGACCTCATCTAACTCTGTGGTGTCATGTGGTGTCATTTACTGTGCATATATACTCTAATAATTAACGTTTTCCACTTTTCCGGGAAAAAACACCCTAAATATGGGTGTCAGAAGTTAATAAGTTGATATGTGGGAGGGCTGATGGCTACTTTGGTTTGTTTTGGCCCTCCATAGCGGATAGGAGCAGTTCTAATTTTTGAAGTATCTTGTAGGCTGTTGGTACTTTTTCATGACATAGTAGTGGCGTTATGCTTATCTAATGGCAAATGTATGACAGGACGAGGGTAGAGCTTTGGGTACCATTTCTCGGGAAATGTTAACTCCCTAATGCTCCTGTAAAATTACTCGAGTTGATATGTAATCAAGTTGAAGAGATGCAACGTTTGAGCCCATGTATATGTCATCTCTCTGTCTCTCAGGCTTTTAACATGCTGAGGGCCGTTTCTCAGATGCAGAGATGTGATATCAAGCCGGAAAATTAAGTGTGCATGATTTATGTTAGCAATTGATTGCAATTCAAAGCCTTGAATGGTTGATGTTTGGTTTAAATATTTCAACACGTATAACCATCCTGGCAGTTAGTATATGTGGTTATAGGAAGACTTTCAATTGATGCCTTGATGTTGTTTTTCTAAATATTTCACAAGTTACACTGAAGCGTTACTTGCAATAAGCTAATTTTATTGGCTTCATGAATTCTTTATTTCAGGTTGAAGTGACCAATTCAGCTCTTCTTGCTTTAATAGAAAATTACTGCAGAGAAGCTGGTGTACGCAATCTGCAGAAGCAGATTGAAAAGATTTATCGCAAGGTTCTGTGACCTGTCCTCTTTTGTATAATACATCTATGATGAAATTGTCTCGAGTCTCGTACCTAGTCAACTTTTGATGAAAACTGATGGTTATTTCATGAAATCCAATACGAACACTTTGAATCGTTTTCATGCTCTGATACTTTGCACATCCTGTTCTTGCTTTTCAGATAGCTCTAAAGCTTGTCAGGGAAGATGGAGAGATTGAGCCTCAGAATGCAGAGGTAGGTGAGGTAGAAGCAGAATCTATCCATCTATCAGACGAAATCAAGTCTAAGGAAGAAATTCAAGCTGGAGCTGAGTCCGCAAACGGTAGCAATGATGACAAGGCCTCTGAAAATAATGCTGAAGCTGAAGCACAGGGAGCACCAGTGAATCAAACACAGAAATCTGCTAATGAAGATGCTTGTTTACAGGTAAATGAAAAACATTAAAAAGCAAAATTATAATGTTTAGTACTTCAGGTGATTCTTGCCAGTTGTAACTATGTATGCTACAATGTATTTTAATGCTTCTAAGTTTTATCTATGCTCAAAATAAAAATACAAGATGCAGTGTAATAGGTAGTTTTGTAGGCACAGAAGTGTCTTTTTACAACTTGTCTTACTGTCACATGTTGGATTAAATATGGTTAACAAATGAATGTAAGAAATCATTTATCTGGCAATATAACACCAAACAAGCAGGGGAAGCACTTTCTTTTGAAATGTTAACTAAGAACAAGCAAGGGAAGCGCTTGGTATTCATTTTCTACGCTAAGTCCCCCCTGTATCTTAAAAAGGTATCTATGCATAATTTGCATTTATATCAGACTGTAAGACAAGAGTGGGTTGCTCTAGTGGTGAGCACCCTCCACTTCCAACCAAGAGGTTGTGAGTTCGAGTCACCCCAAGAGCAAGGTGGTGAGTTCTTGGAGGGAGGGAGCCGAGGGTCTATCGGATACAACCTCTCTACCTCAGGGTAGGGGTAAGGTCTGCGTACACACTACCCTCCCCAGACCCCACTAGTGGGATTATATTGGGTTGTTGTTGTTATCATACACTGTAATCAGTTAAAATCAAATTCTTTGGGATGGAGGGGTTTCTTTAGTCTGGCTAATTAGACTTGATAGTCAAATTTGTTTTAAGAAGTTGTGCCAAATGTTAACTCACTTGTTATAATCTAGCGCGCGCACACACATTTTGATATGTTTGATGTTAAGCTGCTAATGAATAACGTCCTTATATTTTCCTTGACATTGCATGATTTTATGTTTACATATTTATCTGCGTTTAATTTAATGCTATTGTGTCCTTGCAACTGAATTTTGGTTCTGAGTGGTTGTGATCTTAACAGGATACTCAAGAAACTGAGAAAGCAACAGAAAGTGAAGCGAGTAAAACAGTAAATAAAGTGGTTGTTGACTCGCCAAACCTAGCTGATTATGTTGGCAAACCTGTTTTCCATGCGGAGCGCATATACGATCAGACACCAGTTGGAGTTGTGATGGGTCTTGCTTGGACTTCAATGGGTGGCTCAACACTCTATATAGAAACATCTCTGGTGGAGCAAGGAGAAGGGAAAGGGGCTCTCAATGTAACAGGACAACTAGGCGACGTTATGAAAGAAAGTGCCCAAATTGCCCATACGGTTGCCAGGACCATTTTGCAGGAAAAGGAGCCTGATAACCAATTCTTTGCAAATAGTAAGCTTCATCTTCATGTTCCTGCAGGTGCTACCCCTAAGGATGGCCCTAGTGCTGGTTGTACTATGATAACGTCCTTGTTGTCTCTTGCCATGAAAAAGCCTGTTAAAAAGGACCTGGCAATGACAGGGGAAGTCACGCTAACTGGCAAAATTCTTCCTATCGGCGGGGTATGTTAACAATTCTTACACCTCTCCTTATAATTTCATGCAGCTTTTGTGTCTGATCATCTATCATGTTTTCTTTTTATTTTTCGTTGATTTTGTCTTTAATGTTCTTTATGCTTTAATTATTTCCTGTGTCTGTATGTGTTACATGCATGCGCATGTAAGCATAATAAGAGTGGTCTTTTCTTTTTGACCCAACCAGTGTTGGGTTCCTTTCTTGATTTTACAAAAGCTTTACCTTTTGGTTCAATAATAGGTCAAGGAGAAAGCCATAGCAGCGCGAAGAAGTGATGTGAAAACTATAATATTCCCTTCAGCCAATCGCAGAGATTTTGACGAGCTTGCTCCTAATGTCAAGGAAGGCCTTGATGTACACTTTGTGGATGACTACAAGCAAATATTTGATTTGGCATTTTGATAGGCAGAGTACAGATTATTCAAGTTGTTTTGGTGACAAACTGTCCACCTGTAGGCTGAGTTTGCCATCTCATTCATTCTGGACCTTATGCCCGGAGATGTAGTTTTTTTTGCTCCTTATTTCATATTTCCATGTGCACATCAATGTCGAACAAGCAGCCTTGATTTTTTCACCATTGTATCATATAATTCATAAATCTCAAGGACATGGATTTTCCCTTTTGCCAAGAATGAAGGTAAGATTTGACGAAAGGGAAGTCTCTTAAATTTGCTTTAGCTTCTATATAGTAGACCCTCGGCCGTCACTGTTTCTTGGATATGGATTGATGACTTCTTGGCATCTTTATTTTCTTACAGGCAAAGAAAGATGAAAGAAGGGAAAAAGGAAGGAAGAGACAGAACAACGAAGATACATTGTGGTGTGTGTGGACTCTTTCTTAGTCACGGGCAGTTTTCGTCTTCAAAATACTAGCTTGCTGAGTGCAGTGTCGAGAATCAAATTCCCTACAAAAGAAAGGTGGACATTTTGGTTGCTCCATCAAAAAATAAACACTTGTTGTACTCGTCATGATGTCCAAACTATGTTCACTGATCCTGCAAAATTTCCCACAGCAATGGCAGGGCGATAATTTAGAAGCCGAGGATCGGTATGTAATGGTCATTGAAAAACATCGAAGATATTTTGTTTCATTCAAACATTTTAAAAATGAAATAAAGGAAAAGAAAAAGAAAAAAAAAAGAAGCTACCACATCAGGCCCTTTTGATCCATGATTCTTTTTTTTTTTTGGGGGTTTTAAGTTAAAGTAAACAATTAGAAGAAAAAAAAATGCAACTTCTCAGGCGTGACGTAATTCAACAAGTTACGCCTCTTCTTACGAGAGTGACTCTTGGCATTCTTATTGATATCTCCACTATTATATGGTTCTCCCTCTTATGCATTAACCAGAAAAATAATCAACTCCTGTCGATGCCGATATTTGGTACCGATGAAGTCAAAACTTTCATTCTCTTCAGCAAACTTCAGCTGAACCAAAATACTAAAGTATAAAATAAAATAAAAATAAACAAAAGTAAAATGCTAGAAGTGTTTCTTCTTTAAAATAAACTTGGTATTGAAAGACATCACTGACATTATAAAGAGCAACTCTAGGAATGACTTGTTTATCACTCATCTACTAGGTTTGGACTCGTAGATGTTTGCAGCAAAACTGTACACAGAAAGCTCAACTGTTCAGAAGGGCCTAAATGTTTAGAAGGATAGCATCATTTTTACCAGCTAAATGCATACCCTAGATACACGCAAAGTACCAAAGTGAAGTAAATAGCAGCATTAACTCAAAGGCGTCCTCTAAGGGACAGCATGCTATATCGTGTTTCTGATCAGCAGTAGGCTGCAGACTGGCAGGTTTCTAGGTTGGCAAGCTTACGAAGAAAGGGTGCAAATCTCATATCCGAATGGGAGAAAAAAGGAAGAGCTTTATAAGGCACAACCAAAGTTTCGCGTTTTTGGGCTCGATGATAGCGTAGCCCAAGGGAAAAATCTGTGAGGTCTGTTGGACCAAAGCAGACAATACATGACATGGGTTTGGTCATGACAATAATTTCACCCTTTGAGGTTTTTAGATGGCTGAATTTAAAATTATTTCACAGTGTGGCTAAAAGCAAATTTAATTTGTATCTAACAGAGTGGTGAAGAGCTAAAAGAAAAACTTGGTCCCCACATCTCCAACGCAAAAGAAGAGTGTCCAGTTAGTGGAAGCCCGGGAACAACAGATTTTGTAGTTGTAAATGAAAGAAACTGACATCCTCCAACTCCAACCCAAAAGAAGAGCGTTCTAGATATTCCACGCTACTGAAACGTAAAGCAATGCTCATTCTGGAAGCCCAGTAATCAATTTTTGAACTGATACAGCTACATAGATTTCAAAGAACCTAACACCTAGTGAAAAGTTCTAATTTTAGTATTAACAGACCATGTTACAAGTTAAATATGTAGAAGAAGCAGTACTGGTGTAAAAGATGAAAAAAGATGGATAAGACAATGGAGCCGATTCACGAAGTGTGTTGACTTTTTGCATTTGGTGGCAGCATTTTACTAGAATCATCTGATGAGGTTGATTTGTCACTAGATTTGCTAGCGGCTTCATCAATCCCCTCTTCTGTATTCATTTTTCTCTTCTTTGCTGCAGATTCAGAATTATCTTTTCCAGTTTCCCGGCTTTCCTCTTTCTGCCTGTCTTGCCCACTCTTTTTCTCTTTCTCTTTCTCTGGTTGAGGTCCAAAATCCGACACAAATAATGGTGGTTCTCTTCCACTCAACCGACAGAATACTTGTTCAACAGTTTCACTTATTTCCTTCCCTATCCCATTGTTATCCAAAATAAGCTCCCAAACTGATTTAGAAGCTTTCTCAAGCACTGAAGTCCTACAGGAAAAATAGGGCAAGCAGAGATAAAAAAGCAAATAAAGGCAACCAAAAAGAAAGACGATTTCATGAGACAAGCACTTATTCTTTGCCTCCTAATCTTAACATTGACTCAAATGAGAATAGTGACCATCTGTTTTCAGCAAGGTCTGAAGCATTTAAAATAGGAAAAAAGGCATTGACACACTGATTTTCTGCAGCTGAAAATTGGTAGATTCTCAAATGAGATGACGTAGGTAAGATGTTGTGGGCATAATTTTAGAATATATTAAGCAAAGCAGAAGCAAGCACGTAGGAATTTTCAGCATCACATCCTAAGCAGGGTGCATGAGCATCTACAAGTCCTGGTAAAAACTATAGGAGCAGAATAGATCTGACAAACTTGGATATTGGACAAGATTCAGTTTCCTACCAGTACCAAATATTCTGGCAACAATGGACAACGTTGATTAAGATCATAGAATTTTCAAGCTCTAATTATAAAGCACCAGAATCTCCAACAGCCCACAGCAGACGTCTAATATCAAGATCCCAAATCCATCTATTTAAAAACTTCAATACTACAGCACAAATACAACCAATCAAACACTTAACTGAGATGTAACACAAGGTCAAGGGACTTCCTTGAAGTGCCTTTTTGCTCTTCCTCTAGATTTATATTTTGATCATTTTTTAATCTTCCTATAGATTAATGCACAATAAACCCACAATGACATGTACTAATGTAGATATTTCTGACCCTCAACCAAAATAGTGTACAACAAAAAGTATGCACCAATCCCAAGCTAGTTGGGCTCAGATTTATGAATCCTCAATCTCAATACCCCGTACTTGAGGATTGTCTCAACCAAAATAGTATAAGTAAAACAAATACTCATTGATTTCCAGGTTTCATCCTAAACCTAATCGGACACACCCGGAACTAACCGACCATACACAAGGGGAGAAACTTGATCAGACACATTACTTACTATATGGACCACATATTATAAGTATAATAAGATATATTTTTCCCCTAATATAATTCAATTCAATCTTCTAAGAAGATTATGCAAGCCAGTCAAAACCCCAAGTTTTTATGTGAGCAAACGTAGTGAAAGTCAAGAAATCATCAGTTTAACTGGTTAAGCCATCTAATGGTAAGTACTTCTTTCAGCATGCTTGACTTGACTTTCAAATTTAGGTTTACAAACTATATTTCAGGGCTGTGTTGAAAGTCGACAATCAATGCAATTCAATGTCAGAATGTTTTGAGATCTTTCTATTTGTTAAGATTAATCGTACAGAATATTCTTACTTTCTTGCACAATTAGGAATCTCCTATTTAGATAATTCGTTTCATTTAATAACTCTCCTTGATTAATGTAGTCTAAGCTTTCCTATTATCAACTAATCTGAACTCCTCTCTTAATTTAGGACCAGTTTGGTCAAACTTTCAAAATTTACTTATTGTTAAATAACTTTTTGATAAAGAACTTATTCTTAAGTGAATTCTTTTCAAATAGTATTCAAAGAAATACTTCAGGAGAATAGCAGTTTGTATTTTGCCAAATCATCTGAGAAGTGCTTTTACCAACAATTTGTGTTAGGCCAATCTTTCAAAAAGGTTTTTTGAATGTCAATTTTTTTACAAACAAAAGAACATGAAAAGATTCACTTTACCATTATTGTTATTTAAAGAAATAACAACTTGATATATTCATTAGGAGAGACTTTAGTTGAGGTTGTTTTAATTTATCACAGATGAGTCAACTTAAGGAGTGATAGTTTGAACAATATAAATTTCTAATAAGGGTTTTTTATTCCAAATAAAATACTTTTCTGCTTTGAAGGAGAAGCTACATGTTTTTCCTTCCTTCTTGCAGTAGAAAAATTGTTTCGACTATTACTCATAATCACTTATCTTTTCCAAGGACAAACACCTTGAATCTTCAAAAATGGTATTTTTTTAGCTGTCAAGGCTTTGGTTCAACAGTAAGGAAGTAACAGAGCGAGATGTCTTGTGAACACTTCCCGAGTTCGAACCTTCTTCATAACCAAATTCTGATGTTTAACTGAGAATAGGGCAAAACGGGCGGGTTGCCCCTGCTCTCTCGACAGAACCTGTGCGCCAACTAGGGAGCAGCCAAATAACCCACGGGATTTCCCAGTTATAAACAAAGGTATTTCAAATAAAATCATTTCAAATTTTCCAAAACCTTGGTCAACCAGTCGATCAAATATAAGAGTTTTCTCTTTCACTTCTCTTTTTGCATGGCCTCAAAACCTCTGTGATCTAGGTACAGACTTAAGTAGTTTCCGCATGCAAGCAGGTGGCTTTATGACTTGTCCAACTAAAGCTTCTCATTCTTAATTTTACTACTCTCGTGTCTTTGGATGACCATTCAAATGACACAACTCTTTTCCAAATGTTCGTTCTGGCATCACCGTTCACAATTATGGCCATTGTTTCCATAGGATGTGTCATGTACTGACACATCAATTTTGCAACAGATAACATGTCATGTCAGTATTTTACTGCTAGCCTATTTAAGTTAGTAGTATGCCAGTATATGTTTATTCACTTGTCAAGTCAACAATCCATACTTGTCCAATCAACCATGTTGGCGGTCCAACAACATATCTCTGCCAATCAGTGTCACATCGCCGTCAAGCGGCACCTCAATATCCACCAAACACCATCTCGCTATGCAATCAACAATCACAACATTTCCGGTCAGCTATTCCATCATTATCCAATCACCAATAGTAGGTCATCAAACAGTTACTTTCTCCGCATGCTCGACTGACTTCTAGTTTTAATTTACAAGCTCACATAGTTTCACTACCCTGAATTTTAGGAGGCATACTGAAAGTCAAGAGAATTAATGCAATCATATAATAGGATGTTCTAGATTTTTGTAAGTGTTAAGTTAATAGATATAATATTTTTCTAATTCTATCACAATTAACAAACTCACATATCAGATAGTTTTTCTTATTTGGTAACTCCTCATTTCACGTAGTCTAAACTCTTTTTTTTTTTTTTTTAATCTAA